AATGTTTTCCTAGTTTATACTGTATTGATTTCAGCCCTCAGTTTGATTATTTCCTGGCATCTCCTCCTCCAGAGCGAGCTTTTGTTCTAGAGCTTTCAGTTGTGCTGTTAATTCTCTTGTGTGACTATTTGGAAGAACCAACTCTTTGGTTCATTGAGTCTTTATAATGTTTTCCTAGTTTATACTGTATTGATTTCAGCCCTCAGTTTGATTATTTCCTGGCATCTCCTCCTCCAGAGCGAGCTTTTGTTCTAGAGCTTTCAGTTGTGCTGTTAATTCTCTTGTGTGACTATTCTCCAGTTTCTTCATGTGGGCACTTAGTGCTATGAACATTCCTCTTAGCACTGCTTTCAAAGTATCCCATAAGTTTAAGTATGTTGTTTCTTCAGTGTCATTAAATTCTAGGAAGTCTTTAATTTCTTTTTTTTTATTTCTTCCTTGACCCAGGAATGGTGTAATTGGGTTTTCTTCTGCAACTTCCATGAGTTTGTAGGGTTTCTGCAATTTGTGTTGTTGAATTCTAACTTTAAGGCATGGAGGTCTGATAGGATTTAGAGAGTTATTCCAATTTTTTTTGTATCTGTGTAGGTTTGCTATGTTGCTGAGTATGTGGTCAATTTTAGAGAAGGTTCCATGTAGTGCGGATAAGAATTTATATTCTTTTGTGTTTGAATGGAATGTTCTATAGATGTCTGTTAATCTCAATTGGGTCATTACTTCTGTTAGTTCCTTTGTTTCTTTGTTAAGTTTCTGCCTGGTGGTTCTGTCTAGTGTTAAGAGTGGGGTGTTAAGTCTCCTACTATAAGTGTGTGAGGTTTCATGTGTGATTTGAGCATTAGTAATGTTTCTTCTACTAATGTGGGTGCCTTTGTATTTGGGGCATAGATGTTCAGGATTGAGACTTCATCTTGATGGACTTTTCCTTTGATAAGTATGAAATGCCCTTCTTTGTTTCTTTTGATTGATTTTAGTTTGAAGTCTAATTTGTTTCTTGGGTCCATTTGATTGGAAAGTCTTTTCCCAATCCTTACTCTGAGGGAACTTGTGTTTTTGACATTCAGATGTGTTTCTTGTATGCAGCAGAAGGATGGATTCTGTATTCTTATCCATTCTGTTAGCCTGTATCATTTTATAGGAAAGTTAAGACCATTGACATTGTGGGATATTAATGACCATTGATTCTTGATTATTGTTTGTTTTGGATTTGTTGATGGTGGTGTTATTATGTGTGGATTTCCCCCCTTTTTTTCTATTGGTGTTTGGTAAAGTGGTATTATCTGTTGCCTGTGTTTTTGTGAGTGTAGTTATATTCGTTGGGTTGGAGTTTTCCTTCCAGTAATTTCTGTAGGGCTGGATTTGTGGATATGTATTGCTTAAATCTGGTTTTGTCATGGAATATCTTGTTTTCCCCATCTATAGTGATTGAAAGCTTTGCTGGATATAGAAGTATGGGTTGGCATGCATGTTCCCTTAGTGTTCTTAGAACATCTATTTGGTATCTTCTGGCTTTCAAAGTTTCCATTGTGAATAGGGTGTGATTCTGATAAGTCTGCCTTCATATGTTACTTGGACTTTTTCTTTTGCTGCTCTTAATATTTTTCTTTATTCTTTAAGTTAGATGTTTTGATTATTATGTGGCAAGGGGACTTCTTTTTGTGGTCCAAACTATTTGGTGTTCTGTAAGTTTCTTGTACTTTCATAGGCATATTCTTCTTTAGGTCAAGGAAGTTTTCTTCTATGATTTTGTTGAATATGTTTTCTGTACCTTTGAGCTGAATTTCTTGACCTTCTTCTGTGCCTATTATTGTTAGGTTTGGTCTTTTCACAGTGCCCCATATTTCCTGGATATTTTGTGTTAGGGATGTGTTAGACTTGAGATTTTCTTTGGTCAATGATTGTATATCCTCTAGTGAGTTTTCAACACCTGAGATTCTCTCTTCCATCTCTTCTATTTGTTATGCTTACATCAGTGGTTCCTCATCATTTACCCAGCTTTTCTATTCCAGCATCCCCTCATTCTGTGTTTTCTTTATTGTTTCTAATTCTTCTTTCAAGCCATGAACTGTTTGAAATGTCTCCTTTTTTTCTTGGCTTTCTTTTGATTTTTTAAAGAGATTTGTTAATTTCTTGAATTTTTTGCTTTGTCTTTTCCTCCATCTCATGTACTTGCTTGTGTTTTTTTCTTGTATTTCTTTCCAGCTCTTCTTCATCCTCTGCATTGGGTTTTTCAGTTCTTGCTGATGTAGAGTCCCTAGATTCTGGTGGTGTCATATTGGTCTTTCTGTTGTTGAGTGTGCTCTTATTCTGTTTTCTTCCCATCCCTTCTTCCAGTGGATGCAGGTAGGGTCTCTCCCTCTCTTCTAGTCTCCTCAACCAAGGGGCAGAGGATAAGGTTGAGGTGTGGCCAGACTCAGGGTGGTCCTTCCTGTCTGGGCAGGTACACTCCACTCGAGGGGCAGGCTCAGGAAGAAGTTAGGAGGGGTGGATGGGGGGGGAGTTAAGACCAGAGGAAAGCCCAGACTCACCTCAAACAGAGGGCAGAGGGCAGAAGATGAGCCAAGAGTGAGGTGTTTCTGGTCTCAGGGTGGTCCTCCCTGCCTGGGCGAGTCCACTCTATGGGAGAAGCAGGCCCAGGAAGAAGACAGGAGGGGATGATGGATGGAGTTAGGGCCAGAGCAGTGTTCAGTCTCAAAGATTTAACAATCTTAATAAAGAATGTGATTCTTTAAAATCTGGCATGTCCACAAACAATATAAAATACCTTAGTGTTAACTCTAACCAAGCAAGTGACAATACCTGTGTGATTGTCTTCAACTCTTTGAAGAAAGAAATTCAAGAGAATATCAGAAGATGGGAAGATCTCCAGGCTCATAGATCAGTAGGCTTAACATGATAAAAATGACCATCTTACCAAAAGAAATCTATATATACATCACAGTCCTCATCAAAATTCCAATTCTGTAGAGACCTTGAAAGAACAATACTCAACTTAACATGGAAAATAACCCATAATAGTTAAAACTATCCTGTATAATAAAAGACTACTGGAGGTATCACCATCTCTGTCTCAAGCTCTACTACAAAGCTATAGTAATGAAACAGCATAGTACCATGGTAAAAACAGCCTGACCAATGCAATCTAATCAAAGACCCAGACATAAATTCACACACCTATGGACACTTGATTTTCAACAAAGAAGCCAAAACTATGCAATGCAGAAAAGAAAGCATCGTCTACAAATGGTGCTGAAATAACTGGATGTCAGCAAGTAGAGGAATGCAAAGAGAACCATATCTTTCTTGGACTGCATAAAGCAAGTCCAAGTGGGTCACACACCTCAAAATAAATACAGTTACACTGAACCTGACTGAAGAGAAAATGAGGAACAGCTTTGAACATATTGGTACAGGAGTCAACTTCCTGAATAGAGTACCAGTAGCGTGGACACTAAGATTGACAATTAATACATGGGACCTCATGAAACTGAAAATTTTCTGTAAGACAAGGGACACTGTCCATAGGACAAAATGGCACCCTACAGAATATGAAAAGATCTTTACCACCTCCACATCAAAGGGCTGATCTCTAAAATATATAAATAACTCAAGAAACTAGATATCAAAAAACCTAATAATCCAATTTAAAAGTTGGGTACAGACTTAAACAGAGAATTCTCAACAGAATAGTCTCAAATGGCAAAGAAACACTTAAATAAATGTTTATCATCCTTAGCCACAAGGGAAATGCAAATCAAAACAACTCTGAGATTCTATCTTACACCTGTAAGCTAAGATAAAAAATACAAATGACAGTCTATGCTGGAGATGATGTAGAGCAAGAGAAACACTCCTCCATTGTTGGTGGGTGTGCAAACTTGTGCAGGCACTTTGGAAGTCAGTATAGCAGTTTCTCAGAAAATTGGGAATCAATCTACTTCAAGGCTCAGCAATACCACTTTTGGGCATATACTCTAAAGATAATCATATCACAAGGACACTTGCTCAACTATGTTCATAACAGCTTTGTTTATAATAGCCAGAACCTGGAAACAACCTAGACACCCATCAACCAAAAAAAATGGATAAATCAAATGTGGTACATTTACATAATAGAGTATTACTTGGTTCTTAAAAACAATGACATCAGAAAATCTGAAGGCAAATGGATGGAACTAGGAAAAAATCCCCTGGGTAAGGTAACCCAGACACACAAAGAAGAAACATAAGCATGGTATTACAGGTGGCCCTGTCAGAGGAGGAGTAGATGACAATTGAAGTTTGGGTGTCAGCCCACCAGAAGGAAAATCCCTGATGGATAAATCTTGGATAGGCAAGGCCCAAGACCACAGACTCAAGAATGTCTTTAGCTTCTGCTGTGCCTTTACATGTTTGCTGTTGTTGTCTTTCTCTGGTATCTGGCATGATATGAATGTGTGTGGGGAGATTCCCACTGCTTGTAATGTAGTGTGTTTATCTCACAGAAACATCCTGTTCTACTGAGCACTTTTATCTGTAGATTGTTGCAAAGATGATGCCTTCCTAAGCTCTACTATCTAATTGGCAATAATAATGTTAGTTTAAACAGAGTATTGATGATAAAAAAAAGTAAAACAAGGAACTGTCACACAGCTAAAACAGATGAGTTTCTATTGAGGAGCTGTACAGACTGTGGCTTAGGTTAATGATTAAGGAAAACAATTGAGTCCCAGTAGTTCAGCTAGCTTACATTTTTTTAAATGCCAGAATTATGATTTTGGTTCTATTTTCACCTTTTATTTGGAATACAGAGCAACATTAGTTTTGATAAACATGGTGATAAAAGCGTTGAAAATAAGTATGGCCTGAATTTGGAGAATAAGTGGTATTCCAATTTGGGGGTAGGAGGAAAAACAGGTGCAAGACCATCTGCAAAGGAGAAGAGAACACATACTCAGTGAATCACCAAAGGGTTTGGCTTCCACTCACTAAGGGCAAGCATTGCAATCCAGGCTAACCACACATGATCTTCATCACAGCAAATCAGAGTCTCCAAATGTTCAAAGTAATTGTAGGTACAAGAGAGAAAGCAACTCCAGACTGACTTATTAATTGGTCTGGATGACTATGAAATGTCCCCCATTCCTGAGGTGGCAAAGACTTCAGAGTGACTGTTGGAGCAGGGAACCTTTCATGTGCTCCCAGTCTCTATACAGTGCATAGAGACTGGTGAGTGTCAGTCTTGCCAGGCCACCACGTGCTATTTCTCGAAGACCACCTGTACATTTATACAACATTCCTGTCATGGTTCCTGCTGCTACTGTGTTGAGGTCATCTTCTGCACCAGATGTTTTCTCAATGATAACACCAAATGCACTATGGAGCAAAGCCAAGGAACCTAGAGTATTAGACCAAAGTGTCCCTTGCCTAGTCACCATATTCAAAATCTGTACATTTCTTGGTTTGGACCAGGCCATGCTCTGGGTTTCCTTCAATCCTAGCCGAAGACCATTCATTACCCCAAATGCAGCCCCTGTCATGCAACATCCTCCACTGGTTAAAAAAAAAAAAAAAAAAAAAAAAAAAAAAAAAAAAAAAAAAAGAACTAGCGCAAATCGGCCTTGGGTCTTGTTAGCCTCAGTTGGCAAAATGAACTCATCAGTATCCTGAACAAGATATCGTGGATCCACATTTAAATATGGAGACAGGGGATTCATACCTGGAATTCATTAGAGGAATGCTGGTCAAATCAGCGTGCGAGTAGCCTGCTTCTCCGGCTCCGAAGAAGCCAGCTAACCCGCTGGAGATTTTGTTGCCCCTCAGGCCGGGGTCGTGTGCTCAGCTGTGGTCCCCACAGCAACAGCTGGAAGACCCGCGTTCCTACTGCCACCTTCACACGCTCGCTAGCTTACATTTTAATCTTAATGTTGGGAGATGTGTTCACAGGTTTCAGAGTGCAACATGGCTAAAACAAAGCTTTTAAAATGACTTAAAAGTTTGACTAAGATGTTTTTGCTAAATAGCTTTGAGGTGAAAAACCCAAGAAGATAATCTTAAGTTTTAGGAAAGCACATAGTTGAATGCAGAACTTGTTAAGGTCAGAGAACAAGAACAAAGCAGGCCAATTATCTTTGGCTGATGTTGCTTTCTTACTAGGATTGGTCCAAAGGTGATGATTAATTCCTTATACCCATTTCTGCCCTCAATCTCCTGATATAAAGAACTAATTGATGGGTGGGTATGTAACCTAAAGATTTAAAGCAGAGCTGACTGTTTGTCATGTATGTTTGTGTTTGTTTTGTCAAGGCAAAGGGGGTACAATCAATTTTCCAGTGTCCATCAGTTTTGTCCACAGTCTGGGCCAGGTCCTGGCAGGCAGCAGGAGTCTTTTCCATGTCCCTCTTGCACAGAGAGAAAAAAACCTCTCACCTTATAGGTCTGGAGAAGATTGCTGTTCTTTGATACTTTTGCCTCCAATGCTAATGGAGAGACTTGGGTATGGCTAACTGTATATGGACTGGCTCCTGTCACTTTTTTAAAATATATTCGGAAACCATATAAAATTTACCCTTGTCAGATCTCTGAAAGTATTAATGTTTGTCAGCTTGGCGACATCAAGCAGTCAGATCCACAAGACTATAGTCAGCATGCTGGCTGATAAACTAGTGACTACCTACTGTTCAGTCACAAGCTCAAGGTTTTTAGGTTTATTTTGGTTGTCATCTAAGGATAAAGGCTTTTCATTAGGCCAAAGGCACCTCTGTCCAATCCATACCTGGCTCTCTAGACAGAAGACAAATGTACACCCTTCTAGCCCAAATCTATAGTTTTGCTAGGACTCAAAGTTATAAATATGTTCCTGCTATTTAAACAGAAATCCAGATATCTATTTTTTTCTGCAACTGGGTTTCAGTAAATAAGTTTTAACTTCTGTTCCCAGTTTAAACATGTCTTAAACAGGTTTCTGCTTCTGAAAGATACATCTGAGTATCAGTTGCTGACTACAGCCTACCCCTACAGAACTGCGAGCCCTGGACTTGCTGTGGATGGAAACCAGTCCAGCTGATGTGGATACCCCCTGTCTCTTCAACAGAGTCTACCAACCAGCAGATTCCCCATTGCCTAAATTCCCTTTTTGCTTTTGACTAACATTTCAGCCTTGAGGGATTGGGTTGGGGGTGGGTGGAGGGTGAAAGTGCTGGGAGAAGTTCCTGGAAAGGGAGGCTTCATGGAGTCAGGTAGAAGCCTGCTGCAAGGGGAACTTCAATGAGTCTACAAGGATGGCCCCAGCTAAGACTTCAGGGAGCAGTGAAGGCATACCCTGAACTGGCCATCCTCTGCAGTCAGATTGGTGACTACCCAGATTGTCATCAGAGAGCCTTCATCCAGTGTCCGATGGCAAATTCAGAGACCCAGAGTCAAACACTGGCCGGAGCTCCCTGGAGTCCTGCTGAAGAGAAGCAGGAGAGGGAGGAGTGATTGTAGGAGGGTAGGGGAGGCCTCAGGGACATTGCAGGAAAACTCACAGAAACCACTAAACTTGGCTCATGGGAATGCAGAGTCCAAATCAACCACAAGAGAGCCAACATGGGACTCACCATGTGCCACTTGTGTAGCTTGATATATTTGTATAACTCCTGGCAATGGAAGCAGGGGTTATCCCTAACTTTGACTGACACTTGGGAACCTATTCCTCATGTTGGATTGCCTTGCCCAGCCTGAATACAGTGGGAGGTGCTTGGTCTTATGGCAGCTTGATATGCCACACTTTGCTGATAGGCATGGGAGGCCTGCCCCTTTCTGGGTGATTAAGGAGACAGGGTGGATTGGGGGGGCAAAGAGGAGGGGGGACGTGGAGGAAGGAGTGGAGGGAGGAGAGGCTGCAGTCAGGATGTAAAATAAATAAACTAATTTTAAAAATCTGGCATGTCTACACATTTGATAAAAATTTTAAACTGCAGCATTGAATTAATAAAATGAAGCCATATTCAGTGTTTTGTGTTACTTTTGAATTTATATTCGTGTTAATTGCCTTTAGCTAGTCACATTTTTGAACAGAACACCCCACGTTCTCACACTTTCGAGTAGCCGGCAGTCCTCTGTGTATGTGAGAAAGCTGCTACAAGCTGATTAGAGAATGAGTCGTGACAAAAAGTTATGAATGTGAAACAGAAAACAACTGACCCGCACACTGTTTAATACGTCTAATAGGCACACAAACATTTAATTAGCTGAAATGTGTTGACAGAGTAAGACCCTCCTGATGGCTCAACAGTTTTTCACCAGAGGAATATGCTCCAAAACCCTGGTTGAGAGAGTGAAATTGCTGGGTTGCTTACTGTCAGCTTCAATTGCATACATATGCTAGGTCTCAGAAGCTTGAAGAGCAGTGAGGAGCTCCCAGGCTCATCAGCAGACATTGATAAGATGGCAGCCTCCTACTAATAGAGACTTGAAAGTGTCCTGATACGAGCACATGCTTGTGCTGATGAGATGTATATTGACTAAGCAATCTTTATGACATACATGCTTAATTTGCTGTGCCCCAAATGTTTTCATTGCCAACACTTACTAAAGCGCAAATAGATGGGAATGTCTCCATGTTCACCAAGTCTCTGGTTCTAAGTTTCCATAGCCATGACCACTACCACTACCATCACCACCATAAAATAAGAAGACTATAGGCTTTAGGATGAGCTAACAAATCTAACCCATAAGGAACATAGAATGGATCCATGAGAATCACATGTTGTTTTTCTTTTCCATTGGATCTGCTGTTCTGGGATATGTCTGTGTAGATATGGGAACTGTGTGTCATGTTGGAAAAAAGACTAGTATTTTAATATTGGAAGGGGACTTAAACGCACCCTAAAATCTATACTACATTATTTACAGAAGCTTTCTCATAATTTAACAAAATGTGAAATTGTCTCAACTGGGCTTAAAATCAACACAAAAATAAAAATAGGATTAAGTACCTTTTGTCCATGATTTCTGCCACCAGATCTGTCAATCATTAGTATACAGGAAATATTAATCATAACCTTACACTTACAGGATGTCTTAGTTAGGGTTTCTATTGCTGTGAAGAGACACCATGACCATTATCATTCCTAGAAAGTTAAATATTTAATTAGAGTGGTTCTCTTACAATTCAGAGATTCAATCCATTATCATCATGGTGGGACATGGCAGCATGCAGACAGACATGCATGGTGCTGAAGAAGTAGCTGAGAGTCCTACATCTTTCAAGCAACAGGAAATGTCTCCACATGGGACTGAGGGAAACCGAGCAAAAGAAACTTCCAAGCCAGTGCCACAGTGACACACTTCCCCCAACAAGGTCACATCTACTCCAACAATGTCACACCTCCTAATAGTTCTACTCTCTGAACTTATGGGGGCCAATTACATTCAAACTACCACATAGAGCTTCAAAAATCTCATATTTGTATCTTTAAGTTACCATACCTAACAACAGGGAAATAATGCCAAATTAACATTAATAATTTGCATAGTCTTTTTCATTCATTGTATTTGGCCATTTAAACCACTGCAAGTTGTATCTAGTCAACAGAGGGGCAATGAAATGATGCTACTTCAAATGAACTTCTTAATTATTTGGAGGGCTCACTTGTTGTTTAGTTGATTTGGGTTTTTATTTACGGGATGCAGTAGTGTTAACATTTAACCCAGAGCCTGGGGCATGAGAAACTTGCCAATCTGCCAGGTCACTATACTCCAATACTTTTTACTTCTTTTGTTTGTGTTTTGTTTGGTTTAGTTAGGGTATTTTTTATAATTAACTTCATCCATCTAATTAATACTCACGCTGAAATTCTTCTATGAAGTCTTCAAAGAAATGTAAAAATACTAAGTCTATATGATTCTCATAATATCATATAGAAACTGTAACCGTTAGGACTTGACTCCTGTGACAAAACTGTCTGGCATTGCAGATATACTAGGAAAAGTTCAAGACTTTTCCCAAAAAGACTCCAGGTGACTTCAATTTTATTTTATTTAAGATTTATTTTTATTTATATGCATGCATGTGTCTATGTGAATGAATGTCACATGTATGCCAAGCATCAAAAATCTTTGAAATGGTTTCACAAATGATTTGAAGCCACTCATTGTGGGTTCTGGGAACTGAAATCAGAACCGTTAAGAGCAGCAACTGTACTTAACTACAGAGCCATCTTCCTAGTCCTTTGATTTTTATTTTTTAAACACCCATGAACTATTATTGTATAATTCATGTTAGAGCCTTGTCTAACTACATTAAAGAAACTTTGGTTCCTGAATAAAATATCCTTGTGCTTATTGAAAATATTCTATCTATCCTTACATATTTCTGAAAATTTAGTGCTGTTGTTATAAACTTTCCTGTTTCCTCATAATACAATTTGCATAAATCAAGATATTTCAACAGTTCAGACCTCAGAGGCTGCACAGAGTACACTTTACAGGACCAAGGGGCCATGGCCATTCTGCAAAACTCTTGCCAATTATGAGTAGAAGTTCACCCTCAAGAACTTAACTGGTGAAGACATCTGACCTGTCCCTAGGAAGGCTGAAAAGACTTCATTTCTTCAAGAATGTTTTTTCAATCATCCTTAGCTGATAACTGGTACTTTCATCAAATACAAAGATACTATTTCTTAACAGAAAAGGAGGAAGCAATATTAGTTCTGGTTTCTAATTGTTTTGCATTGGCTAATATATATTTCTCATATCTTTATCATTCCTACTTTATTTTCTAAAAATAGACATGTCTTATTACTCTAGCATGCTAGCTCCATTGCTTTACAGCTTCAGATGAGAGGCAAGGATC